ACTTTAGTTTTGATGCAAAAACGCATGATCGCACCGGCTCGCCTGGTGCTTTCCAGCCTTTGTTTTGGATAGAAAGACGACAATGATTATGGAAATCGGTTTTTTTTTTCAAAATTTCGGCTTCTAGTCGATAGTTGAGGGATGCAACGTTTTTTTCATTGAAAAATCAACCGGACATTGTAATCTATAATTTACTAGTAGAATTGCTGTTTTGATTTTCAGCCTGGTGATTATCTGAAGTATGGTAGCGATGCTGAGGCTTATGGTAGCTTAGCCAGGAATCGACGTTCACTTTCTGCATCAGCACTTGGGCGAGAACTTGCGCGAGGTTTTTTCTTAATCCTTTATTTCGAGTTTAAAGCAGCATTAAAATCCCACCGAACCAACTGGTACCATTTCAGTTAAAGTTTAAACGACATTTGTTGCACAGTGAATACTTCGATACTTTGACCAACTGTTTTTTCATGGCCCAAAATTCTTTTTTCGAAATGTCTGCTATGGTTTTTGATTGCTTTCAGCTTACTAATAAAATTCGCCACGTCCACCAAACAGTTCTTCGACATAGCTTATTGCCTTACTAGTTCTTGAGAGAAAACCAGATTTCATTAGAAAAATTTTTTCTTAGTTTGCTCTATTTCGTCATTTTTACGGTGCTGCTTTTTTGTCAATTTTATTTTCAGAATTTATGCATTACAGCTTCAGACATTACTGTATTCATCTTGTATAGTTTTTCCTTTTTTTTTTTTTAAATAACGCTTTGAAGTGATTCTTTTTTGGCTAAGGATTGAACTACCCCATTGATACTCGCCGCTATTCTGATGACTTTTCCTCAGCCTGAATGGCCTCGCAAGATAAATCAGAATGATGCAAGGCGCATTTGGAAGGCATTTGCTATCTTTAAATTTCATTTTTTGTTTTAAAGCTTTTTTACCATTCTTCTTTTTTGAGATCTTTTTAATTCTTTTATTTAGCTTTTCTGAATTTCTTTTTTTTTTGCGTGCCGCTGTTAATTTCACTTTTTTGTTTGGCTTCGTTGTTGCAGAACAGTCCGAGCGCACCCGTATGTACTCTGGCACCGGAACATCGTACATCAGCCGTGCATCGGCAGCAGAACGCCCGATCACGGATACTTATTCACGTCGCTACACGTATCGTAGTCGTAGCGATATGGGCAGTCCACGTCGTTATGCATCGCAAACACTTCTGGACGGTACACGACCGGGTCCGTCCACTCCTCACACACGTCGTGATGCACTGCACACATTGCAGCGTGAGCTTGATACACTTTCACGCTCACCAGACCGCTTAACACCGCGTGGCTATAGCTCCGACACCGGGTACATGAACGATACAATGCGCTCACGTACACGTGGATATTCAAATTACGACTACGGTGAGCATGCACTGCCATACCATTTGTCTCGGAACAAGCTCAGTCGTGTATCAGTCCCAAATCGAAACTTCCCGAGTGCCTTCGCTTCTTTTGCGAACCGCGGGATGATGGGTTGACTTTGCCTTATTGTTTATGTGATGTCAGGAGAATAGCCTGGTGTCTTCCAGCCTCAACAAAACGCAGTAGCACGCTGTAAGTAGCACTAGTTATAGGCAGTTCGCAGATGAGACGAGTTGTGAAAATCACAGACTGTTTTGTGACTGAGAGTCTAAGACTTTTTGGTTTTCGCGATTTTTCGTCTTCTCATCTTTCAGAAATTTCTTAAAATTTTGGAAAGCCAGCAGAAAAATCTCGCGATTCCTGTCAAATTCCTTTTGTGCAACAGTCTGTGCCCGATATAGCTATCAGAAAAAAAACCCAGGCTGGAACGCACCAGGCGGGCCGGTGCGATTATGCGTTTTTGCACTTTTCGCCGTAGCAAGATCGCAAGGAATCAAAGTAGCTAACCCTGTGAAATACTGGCCCTCGAATTGTAGCTAACCCTGTTAATTGTGCAATTATGTGGTATGTCAGTTGTAGGTGTCGACTTCAGTGACCCGACAAGTGGAAAGTTGCTGGTCCGCA